GGGGGGGTTAGTAAAATGGGAACAAGGATGGGAAGTATGGTCCCGCCGTGAGCTCTTCCCTTTGTCATTATTAAATTCTATGATGTCACTATATTAAGGCTGTGTTTGGTTTGAAAGAAAAAGTAAGGAAGGGAAATGTGAGAAAACCTATACAAGGTTTGTTAAGGTTTCTTGCCTTTCCTTACCTTTTCTTTCAAAGCAAACACAGCCTAAATTAATCAAAAAATTATGTATGTAATAGTAATAAAATTAATAATTAATAGTATATAATACCAACACATGAAGTCATTTAAAATAAAATATTATTAAGATAAATTAAGAATATTAAAATAAGTATTAATAAATAATACTAAAACAAGTTAACAAGTATTAGTAAGTATATGTGTGTAATATTTCATTAGATATTTTAAATTAGCTATCAAATTTGAAATTATTATTTATAGGTTACACCTTAAGTTCCACTTAAACTAAATGAAAATAAATAAAATCTAACAAAAATATTAAAAAACTAATAAAAATAATAAAACAAAATACATTTAAATTCAATTTAGAATAATAAAAATTAACAATAATTTATCTAATCATAATAAACATTAATAGAAAAATTAATACAAGTTTTTAGAAAAATACATAACCCAAAAATAATATTTGGGTTGGAATTGGTTTGGCTTTGCCCAATTAAAAATGTTGTAACTCGTAAGGATCCTTTAACAAATCCAAGTTAATGAAACATAACAGGTCCACCTAAAAGGTCCATTCAATGCAAATAAATAACAATACCTTAGAGATTCTCTTATGAGTTTTGTGTTCAGGCCCAATTCGGGTCCGGGCCCACATTAGGCTTGTAAATTTTAGGGTCGGGCTTGACTTAACACTTCAAGCCCAGCCCGGCCTGCATATATTTAAACTTACACATTTTGTGTATAATGTATACATATTATTTTACATTATATTATATATTTTTTATATAAATATTATAACATGACATGTATAATTTATATTATATGTAATATTTTATATTATGTAATGTATAAAATAAGTTTATATGCATATTATGTCATTTAATTTATAGATATGTAATGTTTTATATATGAGTGACATTGGCCCAGAATCAGGCCCGGCCCGGCCTGGGCCTGTATAGACTTAGGCTAGGGCTTAAGTTTCAGGCCCGGAACCCCAGGCCTGGCCGGGCCCGAGCCTAAGCTATAGCCCTTATCATAAGTGCAAAGCCCAGTCCGGCCTAACCCATGTCATCCCTGAGTAAATGACAAGAAAACCCCTCCCACAATATGACAAAGGTACATGTGTGAAGAGTTCATAACCCATCACATTTTTGCAACGAACTCATGCCCAAAACAAGTTCCGATGAACTTTGGCCTGCATAAATTTGCGATGAGTTTCAGACATGCACAGACCCGTGATGAGTTTTGGATGTGCATGAACCTACAATGATTTCAAAGCTATTGCAGGCCCACGGCAAACGTGAAATTATTGTACAACCGGGAATAAATATTAGATACACGTGCATCTTTAAATTATGCACGTGATGAGACGTTCTGTAAGCCTAATAAGAGTGTGCCAGCTAAGTAATGATGTTACGCGGATTATGAGAATCATCGAAAGAAAGGAAAGTTCGTCCCTGAGATATCTCGTAAGACACGTGACAAAACCCTAGCAGTATTCCCTGATGAATCCAATATTCCCTTTCCTAGTGGGAATCAAATGCTTTTGGCTCCTTCCTTTCGGGACCTCGGGATCTTTCCCTATAAATAGGGGTCCATCTCATAATGAAATTATCATTCTATCATTTTCATTTGTCCTAACTTTTAGCCTACCTCCTGCACTGGTCTTCCTATGTCCTTCAAAGAAACCTCCATATATAGCCTCACCACCACACTTACAGAATCAATTCTAGGTCAACCAAAAAGTAAACCGATCCCTTCAATTTTTGAAAAATACTGAATCGATCAATTCGATCAATCGGACTTTTCAGCGAATCTGGATCTACTCTTCATATCAACCTCACAATTCATCCCAACCGCATATTGAAAACATCTCCCTACTAGTGTGTTATTATTTCATGGGAGATGTTTCTAAAACATGGTGAAATGTGGATCTTAAATCGGTGTGAGGAACAAATACCAACCCCTTTTCAGTTGAAATTAGAAATTACTCGATTTGGTTCGATTTTTTTATTTTTCAATTTTCCATGAACACCCTTATAAAAATTGGAAATACCATGGTATAGTAGATTTTGAGAGTAGGTATTACACCTAGGGTCAAACATGAATAAAATTAAAATTTTGAACATCTATATTTGTTCATAAAAGAACAGTCATCATTTCTTTGTAGAAATCATAAATCTCAACACTAGCACTACATTTTTTTGTCAACATTGCTTTTTCACTCTTAGTTCTGAAAGAGAACTAATAAAATTCTGTTAGCCTATTTCACAAGTATCTAAGGGATGGAGGTCTTCCAGTGCGCATGATAAAGATGTCCACAGTCCAAACCTGTTTCTTGAAAAAAACAGGGAAAAAATTTAGAAACTTTGCAGGAAGGCTTGAGTTATTTTCCAATAAAAAAAGTATTCCGTTTTTTTTTTTTTTTTGTAAAAGAGGAATAGATCAATAAAAAGCTAAAACAGTTGCAACTAACAAACGGCAAAAAGGTACTAAGAGTTTGTCACAGTAGTCAAATGCCAAAAGCATTTAGTCTGTGCATATGTGTTACATGACTGGTATATAGAAAAAAGAAATCCTCTCTAACAAAAGCAATCAGAATGCTGATCAGTTCAAGTTCTTGACTCAGGCTTCTCAGAAGACTGCCATTGAAGCTCTGTTAATTGATCATGTCGGGATCAATGAGAAAGACGGAAGGAATCGAGGCGCTGAGGGCGGCGAGCCTACGGTCATCGAGCTTACGGGGAGCAAGCCAGAGGATGTTTCGAAGTGGTGAAAGCATTTTTACGACATCAGCAAGCATTCGTAGAAGCAATGACGATGAAGAGGAGCTTAAATGGGCTGCACTGGAGAAGCTACCCACTTACGACAGGCTCAATGTCTCGCTTCTGAAGCTGGACAAGAGCAAGAGCGGGCACGATATCCAAGACCAGGTTGATGTTCGGCGAATTGATCTTGAGGCTCGACGAAACCTCGTTGACAGGCTTGTGAACATTGTTGATCATGATAATGAGCTGTTTGTGCAAAAGCTTCGTGAAAGGATTGACAGAGTGGGGATTACATTGCCAGAAGTTGAAGTACGCTATGAACATCTCAACGTCGGAGCAGAGGTGTATGTGGGTCGAAGAGCGATGCCAACGCTACTGAATTCCTCGTTGAATATGGTCGAGGTGAGCTTAGGAATATATAATGAAGGGCAGTAATGGTGAGTTCACTACCCAGATAAATGGGTTGGGTTTAATCAGTATTCATTCATTTGGTTTGGCAGAGCATTCTGAGCTCCTTTATGATGTACAAGAGCAAGAAAAGGTCGGTTGGGATTCTCAAGGATGTGAGTGGCATCATCAAACCTGGAAGGTAATAAACGAACTGTTTAAATTAAATTCGTTTCCGTTTTATTCTGTTCCTCTGTAAGTGCGCCAAAATTTAGCATCACAAGAAACCAACTAGGTTTCATTCATTTGGCAGGTTGACTCTGCTTCTCGGCCCTCCTGGTTCCGGAAAGACTACCCTTTTGTTGGCTCTAGCTGGTAAGCTAGATAAGGGTCTCAAGGTAAACCTGAAAGAATGCTTGTGTATTGCATGCAGTGGTAGACAGAATCAAGCATTCATAGACATTCTTCTGAGAGGTTTTGTTTTTTGGCCTTTTGGTTATAAGGTTTCTGGAAGTGTTACATACAATGGGCACACCATGAAGGAGTTTGTCCCACAGAGAACATCAGCCTACATTAGTCAACATGATCTGCATATTGGAGAAATGACAGTAAGGGAAACCTTGGACTTCTCTGTCAGATGTCAGGGAGTCGGATATAGAAATGGTACCATCTCTCTCTAAACCTTCCAAGTTCAACTTCAAACAACCATAACAGATATTGGGTTTCACTCTTTCAACAAATCTTGCAGATGTCCTTTCTGAACTTGCAAGAAGAGAGAAAAAACAATCAATTAAACCAGACTCAGATATAGATTTCTTTATGAAGGTAAACAAAATGACAAAAACAGAACATGCAAAGATACAAATTAATTTTCAACAAATGACTTAATGAAATCCTTTTATTTCTCTCTCAGGCAGCAGCTGTTGAAGGCCAGAGATCCAACATTATGACTGATTATACTTTAAAGGTGAGGAAACATGATTAATTCAAATTGAATATGTGCACATAGGCTTTCTGTTCATTAATGAATCACTATAAGGATGTGATCACCATGATTTTGGACTAACACAGACTGCAGTTATAAGATAGTCAACTGACACAAAGTAACCATGAACATACAGTTGCTTGGATTGGATATCTGTGCTGATATAATTGTGGGAGATGATATGAGGAGAGGGATTTCAGGAGGGCAGAAGAAACGAGTGACCACAGGTGAGATGATTGTGGGTCCTTCTACCGCTCTCTTCATGGATGAGATCTCCACAGGGCTGGATAGTTCAACAACTTACCAGATTGTCAAGTGTCTGCAGCATATAATTCATGTCTTTCATTCTACCATGGTCATCTCTCTCCTTCAACCCACACCAGAAACATTTGACCTCTTTGATGATATCATACTCATCTCTGAAGGCAAGATAGTCTACCATGGACCTCGAGATTCCATTCTTGAATTTTTTGAGATGATGGGATTTACATGTCCTGAGAGGAAAGGCATAGCAGATTTTCTCCAAGAGGTTTGTTTCCCTCTTCATATAGAAATCCAAGGGTATTTATAGCAAGGATCTCCTTATCTGTTGTATTCATGATTAATTAGGAAGTATAATCAAAACCAGGTGACATCAAAGAAGGATCAAGAACAATATTGGTACAAGAAGGAACAACCATATCGTTACATTCCAGTTGAGGAATTCTCTCAAGACTTTTGGTCATTTCATGTAGGGAAAGAACTGTATACAGAAATTTCCGTTCCCTATGACAGGTCCAAAGGCCACCCAGCTGCCCTTGTAAGAAAAAAGTATGGGCTTCCAAGAAAAGAGCTCTTTAAAGCATGCTTGGATCGAGAAATTCTTCTAATGAAGAGGAGTGCGTTCATCTACATTTTCAAAGCTGTGCAAGTATGAGGAAATGATCTTCCATCTAAGTATTTTCTTTATCCTTCAAACTGAAAAAGTTGTCAAACTAATCAATGCTTTATTTCCTTCTTTGTGTCATAGATTGCAGTAGTTGCCACCGTAACAATGACAGTCTTCCTACGGACAGAAATGGATCATAGCTCTCTACAAGATGGATCAAAGTACATGGGTCTCCTTTTCTTTGGACTGATCAACAACCTGTTTAATGGGCTTGCAGAAGGACAGATGACAATAATGAAATTGCCAGTATTCTACAAGCAGAGGGATGCCATGTTCTTTCCATCATGGGTTTACTCACTTTCAACATTTATCACAAGAATTCCAGTGTCACTAATTGAATCTTCCATCTGGGTAATCCTTACCTATTACACAGTTGACCTGGCACCAAACCCTGGAAGGTGTTCTCTCATTTGATTAAATTTCAAGATTTACATCTTATTTCAGATTCTTCGGTCTGATACTTTTACTATTTGCTTCCCAGATTTTTTTGCCAATTGCTTCTAATGTTCAACCTTCATCAAATGTCGCTTTCCCTATTCCGTTTCATTGCGGCATTGGGACGGAATGAGATTGTGGCTAACACATTCGGAGCATTTGCTCTACTGATCATATTTATTCTAGGTGGATTTGTGGTTTCTCGAGGTACATGAACCATCTCTTTTTGCATACTAGATAAAAGAAAAAACATCAGACTACAATTACTATTGTGTACTAAGTGCATTTCTTTCTTAACTAAAAATCACAGAGGATATACATAAATGGTGGCTCTGGGGGTACTGGGCATCTCCTTTAATGTATGCTCAGAATGCGATTGCCGTAAATGAATTCCTAGCAAGTAGATGGGGCGAGGTATATCCTGGTTTTCAGTGGAATAAATAAGCAGGTTAAGATGTATAATAGTCAATAAAATCTAGCCTATTTTGCAGGGAGGGGAGATACTTCTGAAGCTGAGGGGATTATTTCCAGAACAAAAGTGGTTCTGGATAGGAAATGGGGCCCTCTTGGCATTCAACATTTTCTTCAACATCCTCTATACTGTCGCATTGGCATATCTAAACCGTGAGTAGAAAATCAATCTTGTACATTGATTTCACAATCTGGTTGGTTTCTCTAAAACTTATTTTCTCCTATTGTCTTTTCAGCTCTTGGTAAGCCTCAAATATCAATAACTGATTCTGGTGAATCTATAAATGGGGAAAACAGAGATGTACAAGATTCTGGTATGCTATTATTTGTATTGTAGTAAAAATAATTAACCATTGTACAAAGAATATCTGTTTAGAATATGTCCTAGAAGGTTATATGCATTCTACACTTGAATATAATGTTATTGGTACTTTCAGGCAAACATAGTAAGACTCTGAGGAAAGGAATGGTTTTGCCATTTAAACCACTTTCCATGGCATTTGACAATGTGAATTACTTCGTCGACATGCCTAGAGTAAGTTTTCATGAATTGAACCAATTATTCCTTATCTAATGGATCTTTCATTCTAATACACTATCCTAGAGTTAGTAATATTTATCAAATCTTTTCATCTAATAGGATGCTATTGGGTAAAATGAAAAGAAATTGCTCAAAAAAGAGATGGTTTTCCCTGATAAAAAGAAACTTTTGATTCATCTAACAAGAGAAAGATTTCCCAATTAGCAAAGCTAATCCTGTCTACAGGCAATAATATATTTCTCAAGTCATTTGTTGTGTTGATGCAGGAAATGAAACAGCAAGGGATACTAGAGGACCGTCTCCAACTACTGTGTGGAGTAAGTGGATTTTTTAGACCAGGTGTCTTGACATGTTTGATGGGAGTGAGTGGTGCTGGGAAAACCACCCTAATGGATGTACTTGCTGGACGGAAAACTGGTGGATATTTTGAGGGCTCAATCACCATATCTGGCTACCCAAAGAAGCAAGAAACTTTTGCACGAATCAGTGGCTACTGTGAGCAAAATGACATTCATTCTCCCAACCTTACTGTTTATGAGTCTCTTCTTTACTCGGCCTGGCTTCGATTGCCTGCAAAAGTGGATGTGAAAACAAGAGAGGTAGACTCCATTGAACCACTCTCAAATTTTTATAGAAGATGCTAAATTACTACCATGAACTATTTATGCAATGAAAAAACTTCAAAACCATTATGCAGATGTTTGTGAAGGAGGTCATGGATCTGGTTGAACTAAACAATCTGAAGGATGCCCTAGTTGGCATTCCACGTGTTACGGGGCTCTCGACAGAACAAAGAAAGCGTCTCACCATAGCTGTTGAACTTGTTGCCAACCCCTCCATTATATTCATGGATGAACCTACTTCAGGTCTTGATGCTCGAGCTGCAGCAATTGTGATGCGAACTGTCCGGAACACAGTAGACACAGGAAGAACCGTAGTTTGCACTATTCACCAACCCAGTATTGATATCTTTGAGTCATTTGATGAGGTTTGATTTGAAAATGAATTATTCAACAAAACACCCAAGAACAAAATTTTACACCAACTTTGAACTAATATGCCTCCTTTCTTATTGGTGAATTTGTTTTCTAGAACAGCTATTACTCATGAAACGGGGAGGACAAGTAATATATGCAGGTCCACTTGGAAAACACTCACAGGAGCTTATCAACCACTTTGAAGCAATTGACGGTGTCCCAAAGATATCTCCTGGAATTAATCCTGCAACATGGATGCTGGAAGCAACTTCAATAGCTTCTGAAAATCATCTTGGGGTAGATTTTGCAGAAATTTACCTTAACTCCACTCTCTATAAAAAAAACAAAGCAATAATAAAAGAATTGAATAAACCAGTCCCTGGTTCCAATGATATACACTTTAAAACCAGATTCTCACAGTCTTTCTGGGTTCAAGCAATGGCCTGTCTCTGGAAGCAACACTGGTCATACTGGAGGAATCCACAATACAATGCTGTCCGCTTTTTCTTCACTTCCATATGTGCTATACTACTTGGAAGCATATTTTGGAACATGGGGAGCAAAATGTAAGCATCCATAATAAAAAACTTCAAGTGGAAATCCCAATTAACTACTAACTCATTTTTCTCATCCATATTGATTTCTTATGATGGATATGCCAGTGAAAAGCAACAAGATTTTCTCAATGCCATGGGATCCATGTATGCTGCAGTTGTTTTCCTAGGTTTCAGTAATGCAGCATCCGTGCAGCCAGTAGTAGACATTGAAAGGAGTGTTTTCTATAGAGAAAGAGCTGCAGGCATGTATTCTGCTCTTCCATATGCCTTTGCCCAGGTAACATGAATCTGCAAAAACTTATTTCTCTAGCATTAAATGACCAAGAAATGTCATGCTACAGTCAATCAAAAGTGATTATTTAAACTTGGTACAAATTGTGAATTGTACAGCTAATGATGGAGCTCCCTTACACCTTTGTGCAATCCGTCATATATGGACTAATTGTCTACTCCACTTTAGGCTTCCATTGGACAGCAGCTAAATTTTTGTGGTTCTTCTTCTTCATGTTCTTCACTTTCCTCTACTACACATACTATGGTATGATGACCGTCGCATTGACTCCCAATGCCCCATTTGCAGCAATTATGTCTACAGCATTTTATGGATTTTGGATGATCTTTGCTGGTTTCCTGATACCCAGAGCTGTGAGTGGTAAACCATATAGCTTTTTACATTTCCTTTATGTTTTTGTTCAAGTTGTTTAACCAATCACTTGCAATTTACAGAGCATCCCTGTTTGGTGGAGATGGTATTATTGGGCATGCCCTGTTGCATGGACGCTATATGGTTTAGTGGCTTCCCAATTTGGAGATGTCACAACAACCATGTTAACATATGAAGGATTTGAAGTCCCTTTAAAGAATTTTCTAAGCACTAATTTTGGTTTTCACCATAACATGCTGCCAATTGTTGCCTGTGTAACCGTTGGCTTTGCAGTTCTCTTTGCCTTTGTATTCGCCCACTCTATACACTTTCTTAACTTCCAAACCAGATGAAGATTCATTTATACAAAATTTGAATTGTTGGCTCCCAAACTAGATTAGAAAATGAATTCAAGAGTTAACATATATCATCATTCTTGTCTCTAATTCATAGCATTATATTTAATTTTTATTGTGTTTATTGTAATAAGTCTTTGTGGAAAAGCATCAAGTACCAAATTTTTGTAATTATACGTTCAATAGGGGTGTAACTGTTCATTATGCATTTTAGTGTTGAGTTCGCTTTGTTTTCAACTTTTCATCCCTATTGTGGAGTGGCACGTACTTTGCACAACCAGAAGCAGATAGATTGCAGTTGGTGGTAATTAGGGATAATAGTTACTTAGAATTGTACTATTAATCCACACCTTTCACATTATGTTGCTGCATTCTTTTGGCAGCCTCTTGGATTAGCCATGACCCTAAATCAATTTAAAGTATGATGAATGTGACTCTTTTTTCCAACAGTAAAAATCTTTATTTTCCCCCTTTTGAAGCATCTTTAACCCTAAAACAAATGCTTTTTGGGATGCATCAGAGTTAATAGAAATCTACCAGTTTTTCCTATGCCAGCCCACAATTTTTTGAGTCTTTCTTATTTTTATTTCTACTTTATTTGGTTACCAATTTTATTAGTTTCCACAACATTTTCCTGTTAAGATCTGAAAACATCATTTCGTAAGATGGATTAACAGCTTCAGTGGCCTGAATTGATTAGAGTCAACATCCCTCAATAACCAACAGTGTCCCAACTCTTCTTTTTCTTGACGGTATCGAGATAAACTGATAAATGATAACCTTGATTGAGGAATGAAGTCATCTCATCTCCTCACACTTGACTCAAGCCTAGTCTCACGAAGTCGCGATGATGGTTAGACCGGGCTCAGGAATGAATTTTTTTCCTTATTCTTAAAGACCCCTAAGGTTTAGGAAATTGATGTACTTTACCACTACTGTTTACTAACTTTACTTATTACTTATTAGTAATAATTTTAAAGTATCTTTAAGTTTTCTAACAATTAACTAAATCCTCCCCTACCATTAAATGTCCTCTAGTTTGCTTTCTTAAAAATTTTTATTCCTAACACCTAAAATCTGAAAGTCTGGCAGTGCTTAATCTTGTTTCAACAGTAGGGAGAGAGACCCCATTATTCTCTAACCTGAGAATGCTCATTCATCACCCTGGATCTAGGAAATATACAAAGCTCCAAAACCAAAATGGTTCAGGGAGAAAATGACGTCGTGGAGAAGATGACAAGCTCTTCTGAAAAGAAATGTTTCAGACGAATCAATTAATTGGGTGATGGAATAAGAGGATTCATGAGTCCGACCATTGCATAGAAAGATTGTGAATTTCAACGAAGGGCTGGTGTGTCCGTGTTTGACTGGGTGATCTAGGTCATATTGTTACCTCCATTGAAAAGGCCTACATTAGATTAAGATTAAAGATTAACTGGTAAAATTGATTTGAAGGTTGAAAACTTGAAGAACACCCTTTGTTTTCCATTTATCTTTTCCTGCTTTCTGGGCGGGGAAACAAGACTGAGAGTGTTCTGTTCAGTTCCTCCGCTTATCAACAGAATGCTTGAAGCTAAGAAATCACGTTCGGAAATATTGGTCATTGTCATATCTTATTTTTTCTTCGAAAATAGTCATCTAGAATAATGTTTTGAGAAATGATAGATTTCTACTTTTAATTTCATGAAAGAGAGAACGCAAAAGTCCACAATAATTTCTTAAAGTTCCAATAAGATAAATTACGGGCCCAAACATGGTAGCGGAAACTGTTTGGAGGTGTATATTGCTTTGAGGTTGCATAGTCAAGCTAGTTAGCTTTGTCTTTCTCCCTTCTATTATTTTGAAAAGGCAGAAATAGATCAATGGTTGTGTCCATTTTAAAAGTTTAAACAATATTAAAGGGAAAAAGTCTTCTCAATCTTTCTATTAGTGGTAATCAATGATTGTGGATTGTAACAAAACTTATCAATAGTTTAAGACAATTTCTAAATATTAGGGATGAATAAGTCAATTTTCTAAAATTTTGGGGTACTTTAAGAAATTTGTCCTATTTTATTTTACTTTTGGGGGACTCCAAATGGTGAAACTTGGTATCATAGTTTTGAACCATCGTGATTGAAATGGTCAAACCGTTTGACCCAAAAATCGTCTAAGAATCTAGTTCTGTTTTGCCCCTTAACCTCTTTGTTGCCAAAAATCATTGATTAGATCAATGACATGTTGACCTGGGCGGTCAAACCATTAGCCTATTTAACCCGGACAGTGGTTTTTGGCCATTTTTGTTTTAAGTTTTTTTTTTTTTTTTTTTTAATTGCAACAAGTCATCCATTCAAACTGGATGATCGAACCACTAACCTAGAAACTGGTGGCCAAAGCTGTTCCTATTCTGGGTCGATTTTTAAAGCATTGCATGATATGGACTAGGTCCTTACAAGATTTAACGAGAAATTCCCTTTTGACTTTTATCTTATTTTACTTCATTATTTTTTGTCCTTTTTGTTTGAGTATATTTTATGCATTCTTAAAGAAAGGATGTCTTCTATTTTTTATGCATTCCTTGATATATCCCTTTTTTCTTTTTTTTCTCCTTTTTTTATATATTTTTCTGTATTCTTTGCTGCTTTTTATTTTTCTTGTATTGATATATTTTCTTTTATTTTTTGTCATTTTTTATTTTATTATTTTCTCCTTTCATTTTTTATGTTTCCTTTTTTCTTTCTTTTTTTCCTCTTCATTTTAGCTTTTTACTATTTTTATTTTTTTACTAGTAATTAAGCATGTGCATTACACGTGAGAAATTTTTCTTTGCAATAATTAATTGAATTTTAGATATATCATAGTTAAATGTGCACATGCATTGCACAAGAAAATTTTAAATTACAATAATAACAACAAAAACAACAACAACAACAATAATAATAATAATAATATTACTAAATTTGTATTTCATTTCTGTTATAAATACAAATAATTTTTAACAATTATTTTTATTTAATATGATGAATATATAACATTAGAAATGTTCCCAAATTTTTTGGCAAAATTTTATACTTTTTCATTTTTGTGTTCTATCATTTTTAAATATTTATTACTCAATTATGATATCAGTTTTAAATTATATATGCATCTACATTATATAAATAATTTTTAATTATCACACTCAATTTTTTTTGACATAATCAATATATAATTTTTATATATTATTTTGATTACTTATACTTTATTTATGTTTTAAAGATTTGTTATTTAACTATCATATCATCGATTAATCCATTTGACCTAACCCACTACCCAAAAAGAAAAATAGTTTGATTTTTTATGTTAACATTAAATATTGTATTACATTTCTATCATTTATAAAAGTAATTATTTTTTATGTATAATACTTATTTTTGTTCAATATAATTAATGTATAATATTAGAGATGTACCCAATATTTTATTTTTTATAAATATATAACATTAGATATGAGCCCAAAATTTTCTCCATTTTTTGTGATTCTTTGTATTTTCTATTTTTAAAAAATTATTATTTGACTATGACATCATTTCATTTATAGGTTGATTTTAAATTTGGCATTTCATTTTCATCATTAATTAAAATAMTTCTTACATTTCATACTTATTTTTGTTTAGTACAATGAATATACAATATTAGAGATATGCCCAATTCTTTTTTTGTATTATATATTTTATTTATTTTAAACTTTTATTATTTAATTATGCATTATTTATTAAACCATTTGACCCCAAATGGTTGAATTGCTTAACCACCACCAAGAGGTAAGAAAATGGTTTTGTTTTCAAATTACTTTTCAAAACATTTATTTTTATATTATTAAAATTAATATCGTGGATATACTTAGTAGAATTTAATAATGAGAAAAATGTATCTTAAATATAGGATTTAATGAGAGAATATACTTTAGATATGGGATTTAATGGGAGAGAATAAGAAATAGTTTTATTTTCAATCGGTTTTAAATTTTACATTCCATTTCCATCATTAATAAAAATATTTCTTATTTATCATACTTATTATTGTTTAATATGTCGAATATATGATGTTAAGTGTTCCCAATTTTTATAATTTCTATATTTTTTACATTTTTATCTGTTTTTTGAATTTTATTATTTAATTGTGGCAACACAGATTAACCCATTTGACCCAAAATGGTTTAATTTTTTACCACCACTTAGATGAAAACACTATTTTTTTTTGTAGGTAGATTTTAAAAGTATAAGTTCTTATGTTTTTGGAATTATTAATTTACTTATCCTATTTGCCCTCATTTTTTATCAATACATTTAAATATGAAGGGGCAATTTTTGTCTACAAAAAATTCTAGAAATATGCTTAAGGCTATTCGTGCTTTTTATAATAGTATAGATTTTTATATATTTCAATCTAGACCCCTTTTGTTTAAGGATTAGACTATGATACCAGATAAGCATGTAATCAATCAATTAGTATCATAGAACTAATAAAGAATCAGGTAGTGCAAATTTAGGGAAGTTGGGTTCATTCCAGTAGCTTAGATTTTTCTAGCATCATGGCTAGTCGAACCTTTTATTTTTGGGTTAAATCGCTAAAACATCCCCTGAAGTTTTTTATCATTGCTGAAATCTCCCCTGGAGTTTAATAATTGCAATTATCTCCCATAAACTTTCTAATACAGTTGCAACTAGATTCCCTCTAGTAGAATCTTCTAAAAAAATGCATGAAAATATCCAAAATATCCATGAAGTTAAAATTGGGCCTAGTTTCTATAGAAAAAAAAAAAACAATATAAACTTTATGAACAACAAAAACAAAGAGAATTTAAAGTTGTAGCTTTACCTTTGAGTGATTGATATGAAGGGCAATTTTGAAAAATAAATCAATTTCAAAAAAGAGATTATAAGGCTTTGGGGTAGTGATTCATATGAAAAGAAATTTTGAAAAATAAGCATTTTTGTTAAAAGTAATTACATGGGTATTTTAGGTATTTTCATGTCTATTTTTAGAAGATTCTATTTGAAGAGATCTACTTGCAACTATGTCAGAAAGTTAAAGGGGATGTATTT